AATAATAACATACTCAGTGAATAATCACTCCCTGCTGAAAACTTCCTATAAGTCAAGAAGTGTCTCACACAATGAAAGGCCATCTATACGCTGTAAGTGTCATAAGACTTTAGAATGGAACGTGGTATAAGTCCTACATTTTTTAAACAACATACTAGATTATAATGTTTTAGTGTTATGAACCGAAATAATAATTCTCACCAGTACACTCCACCATCAACCATACGTCGAAATTCAACATTAAATCCAAACGTTAATTTATCGTATTATAATCAACGTTCTCGACAACAATTGAATAATCCTTTCACTTATACTCCCCAACTAACTATGGTTGATTCACGTACACAACATTTCCTCTCACAACCTCCTCCAATTCATCAGTCAACCATTCATCAACAGTTTCCAAATTATAATGCTTCATCACTATTTGATTTAGAAAATCCTGAATTAAATCATGATTTCTTTACATCGCCAACATTTACTACACTTTCTCATCGTCAGCCACAACAACAACAACGTCGCACTATGCATAGACAATCGTATGTTCCACCAGTTTATTCTACTGCGACTACAAACATTTTTAGTGGACAACAACGGCTCGATGATGATAATAATCGATTCAAAGTCCTGGAGGATCAGCCATCATCTCATTATACACCATTATCATCTCGTGAATCGTCGAATGACTCCTTCGCATCACGTATGGACATAGCAAATGACATACGTGCCCGTCTATTAAATGATATTCAACGGTCAATTACAGATTTAGACGACGAAATACAATCATTAGACGGCAATAGATCACGTTATTTAACAACGAATACAAGATATATAACACCTCAATCAAGATTTTCACCTATCATTGAACTCGATGTGAGAGCTATAGAAAAATCATGTTTCAACATTATATTCAATTTGCTTTACTTTTAGATTCAAGACGATAAGCCGAATCCATCCATTCTTGATAAATTTATTCATTCAACACTTTTTTCACAAAATGATAATAATAATAATAATAATAATAATAATAATAATCGAGCTAGACTGTTGTCATCGCAGCCAACATCAGCCATAGAACATTTATCATTGAATGATAATTCATTATGGCCACAAAAACAAAAACGTGCTTATGAAGTTATACCGCGTTTGACTAAAACATCGCGACAATCATCAAGTACTACTAATAATTTCCTTGCTATAGTTGAATCAGAACCTACAGAGAATCAACCGATACCAATAGAATCATCATCTTCTGATAATAATCGTGAAGAACAAACGATCGATCATGTAAAAAGCGCTCAGCGAATTGAAGACGACTTGCCAGTTATAAACAAAGATTCATGTAAGTATTGGCAGGAAAACTATTCTGTAAAATACGAAAGAAATTTGCAAAAATTGCTCTTAAAACCAATCTCTTCTTACGAAAAATATCTAACGGGTGACTCATGATCATGAAATGATGGGGTTATTCATATATCTATTTTTATCTATATCCCGTATGGTTACAAGACTTTGTTCTGTCTTCAGAAGATAGAAAATTTTCTGCTCTACAAAACCCTATAACGCACACTTCCATTGCGTCGTTTGGCTACGCCTTTTTCTGCTTTTTTAAAATCTCACGTTACCCGAATCATCATCTTCTGATAATAATGGTGAAGACAAACGAAAGTACACTCTCAAAAAACAAGTGCATCATCAGCTAAACAGGTCACTTTATAGACGATGAATGGGACGCTTTAAATGTTCCGCTCTGAGGCACTTCAAGCAGAAAAATGTGTCCCATCGAGAAAAGTGCCTTACTATGGATCATTTTAAGTGCCTCATTCACTTGTTTGAATGGGGAATTGGGACACTTGTTTTTTCGCAGTGTACTGAAAGCTTCACAATTTGGGTAACCAGACGAATAAGCAGCGTAGTCTGGATGATAGCGCTCAGTCCGGTGAACATTTTTATACCACCTACTTCTCTCAATTACCACATTATTTCTCGAAAAGTTGCACAAAAATGGAAAGCCAGCAAAATTTTGATCAGAAACCGCAGTTATATTTTTTACCTGTCTTTACTCTACACTATTTTTTAAAATAATAAAATAATATGTAATGAAAGAAGGTAATGGATTTTGTAGAGCAGAAAATTCTCTATCGAATGAGTTTAGAATGAAATCTTTGAACCTCAGTTGTGCTCGGAAGAAAAGAGAACAAAAGTATGTCATTATTTCTGATCCATACGTTAGTTCAGTTTTTGTTTTTTCAGATGAAACTAATCAGCCTCCAACTGAAGACAATTTGATTTCTAATGAAAAACGTTCTAGTACACAAGTCTATCATTATGGTCCAGAAATAGACGAAATTGAAATTCTCTCGAATCATCCAGAAAATGTCGATATTTATGAGACACATATTGATTCAATCAAGGATAATGATGGTGATGATCTCAAACCATTGACCATCGATCAATTTTTACGTGATCGTTCTACTTCACCAAGAAGTCGTGTGATGTTAACGGCGAATATTTATAGTGGTGGAAGTGAAATATTGGACAATGAAACACAAGATATACTTCATGACGCTTATGATGTAGCTAGATCTCTATTAAATAGTCCGCAAACAGATTTAGCTGAAACTAAAGATTTACATTTAGAAAATTTAAAAGAATTAGTACAGATGGCGAAAGAAATAGAACCAAAAGAGAAAAATCGTGATATTTTAACGCTTGCCCCTGGACCAACGAACACAGAAATTCTACTTAGTACACCAATAGAAAAACATTCAAATGATACTTCTAATTTAAGTGTTTCAAGTGCAAAAACTTTAGACTTTCAAAATCATACTATTCTATCTAAAGCAATTAAACATTCAAGATCGGCTGCGTTACCGGTGAATGACGCTGAAAAGAATGATAAGACAAATATAGCGACAACTGACACTACTATTTCAAATAAGCAGCCCTATTTTTTCAGTGATTTTGGTAATGATGATGAAGAAATGGTTTCTTTAGATACAAATAATTTTGTTAATAATCTGGATACAACTGGCGCAGCTGATGGTGGTAGTGGTGGACAATCCGATTATGTTTCAAACAATAACAATGCGTTTATTATTCCGCAAGGTGAAGAAGAAAAGAATAATTTTTCTACTACACAACAACAATTTAAAAGAAATAATACAGTATTAAACGAACAAAAAGAAAAAAAAGGAATTGATGAAAACATGAGTTCACCTGTTACAACGACATTTGAAAATAATCATCATACCAACAACGACAATGGAAATATTTTAATAACGAATTCAAATCAAGACCGAGCGATAATATCTCAATCAGCTATTAGTCATAATAAATTAGCGGAGACGACCATGGATGAGGAAACATTACCTAATATACAACATTTACAACAATCGGTAGACAATAAAGATTCTCAATCCACGCATTTTCCTAGTAGACCGGTATCATCAAAATCGCATAAAGAGCCGGCTGATGAAGAAAAACAAGGTGCCAGTAGACATTCCAGTTCAAAAAGCCGTCGTCCACACTCTCGATCATCTGCAATTGTTAGCCCAAACGTCGATGAGAAATCAGTTCTCGACTTGAGACAATCGGTGATGAATCGAGAAGAACGTAAATCCGCAAGAACAAATTCAATCGATTCGTTGAAAAATGAAAACGTACAAGAATCACGCCCAAATCCTCATGCCGCATCACGAAATTCGCTTGTAACTAGTCCGCACGCAGCGGAAATTGTAGCTACCACTCTAGACGGGAGGCATCGATCACGAAAAAACTCATCGAATGTCGTAAATACGTATAACGAACCGCAGCGTATCAGTAGTCGTTCACCATCCAGTCAGTCAAAAAAACGATTATCATCTCAAAATTATGGAAGGGTAAATTCGCCACCAACAGATGGAGCGCTCATGGCTGACGATTTAAATACTTCTTCTGTCTCTCACATGACCCCACAACCACCAAGCAAACATATTTCTGCAAGATCCACTAGATCACAAGCACAAGACCAAGCAGATGATGATTCACAACTCTCTCGACAAAATTCTAATATACATGAGATAAATAAACATAGCGAAAGTCCAATAGAAGGTCCATATTCAAGTGCTGACCTACTATCAGACGATGAACTAAACGATGATAAAACGATTGCTGACCTCCTTAAAAATATTCCACAGTCATACGAAAAAGATCCACCAGTTAAACGAAATACGCATTCATCAACAAGTAACAGTTCATTACCAGTGCAACTCACCAATGAAGAAAAATTATCCGGACCATTGAATTCAGTCGATAATTCATTAGCTCCATCTCGTAATCAATCGCCAACTGTTATCAGTCGAAAGAAATATTCAATAACATCCAATCCAACAGCCGATAATGTCGATTTTGTTACAGCACCAGTCAACAATGCCATATTATTGCAAACAACAACAGATGACACTACTACCACAACAACTATCACAGTATTTGGTCAACAAAACGAACAAAATACAATTGAACAAACAATTACCATTGCTCCAACGCATGTGCAAGATGAACCAAAGTCTTTGGAAATCGAATTTAGACATAACACTAGCCCTGTTTTATTGCCAACACCACAAGAAACAAGAAAAAATTCTAGTGAAGCTGTACAGTCAGTCATTAGGCAAAATGATGAAGAAAATATACGCAATTCAAATCGACATTCCACGCCTTCTATAAGAGAAACTCCCATCCCTTCGCCTACTCCATCTTCGAATTCGTTAAGAGATAATCTCGACGTACCTCCGCAGAGTCCAGTGGAGAGAATCGAGTCGAAATCACAATTAGACAAGCCACCAGCTCCAAAATCACCGCATAAAGAAGAGAAAACCGCCCCATCTACACCTCCGTTTTCTCCAACGGTAAATGAACAATCAGTAGTAGCAGCATCACCACCGTTAGAAATCGAACAACTACCACAATCTGAAAAATCAGTATCAACAAGCAATAATCAAGACGAACAAGTCACTAATATCATACGAGATGGTACTCCCTTAAATTCGGGCACTATGAAAAACATACAGAGACAACCACAATCGATGAATAATGACGTATATAATGACGAGCAAGATGAGCAAATATCATCGCCATCACCACAATCCGAAAATAATAACCAAAGCCCAATTCTTCATTCAGAAAATTTAACTAAATCACAATCACGTTCTCAATCACCCGATCGATATCATTATGCGCCAACATCATCATCTCCAATAGTGCGACCTACTATGGAACTAATACATGATAAAGTTGAACATCATTTGACACCGAGTGAAATAAAATCCAACCTGTCACTAAAGCCAAGAATAAATCAACATCTAAAATCAATTGAATTTGATACAGAAAAAAAGATTCTTGATTATGACGAAGTAGGTATTGTATCAAACTACACAATATTTGTAAAGATAAATAAGTTTGTTTAAAAAGATATTTATCTTTAGAAGATAGCAGACAATAACATTGATGATGGCCAGGAAGTGGTAGATCAAGAGAAGAGACCTAAAAAAAAGAAAAACCGCAATCGAACCGTATCATTTTCGAATACAGAACATTTTGAAATGGAAAAACGAAAATTGATGACAAATTGGAGAGAAAGAGTGGCAGAAATATTGACAAATAAAGTAGGAATAAAACTTGTCCAACAATTCTGAGAACGTTCTAACCATTCCTTTGGAGAACTAGTTCTGGATTAAAACAATTGATATGAGACGATATTTTTCTACTAGCACAATCCAAATGACAAATACAAGCATGTTAAATCAACAGTAAATTCATTTGCCAACTTTGAATATCAGCCAAGACACATCAAGATAAAACCAGTCCAGATAAAAAAAGTAATACTGGATGTTAATAAGCAAGAAATTGTTTTACTATAAATTTCCTCTATGATAAACTTTTCTAGGATCCAGGCAACACTTTCGATTGGAACAACAATTTTCGACAGCATGTTGCACCTCCTAAAAAGAAGTTAAAGGTAGACTGTATGTAATGCCTCTGTAATTCTTTCTTATATATAACTTTTTTAGAGTAAAAGGAAGAGTGTAACGAAAGTTAAACTAAAACCAAGAATAGAAGAAGAAAAAATTATAGAAAAACCAGTACAGAAAGTATAGAACTTGAGTAAATCGTCATTATTATATAAATAAAAAAAAATTCTCCATCTGTAGGAAGAATCAGCACCACAACTTTTCGGCCGTCTCTGGTGTTTGCCCGATGGTACACCCACGGTACGTAATTTCAGTTCAGATCTAAATGTATTCATCATCACATATTGATTGAATTTTAGATTTATAGTGAACCACTTGAATGGAATGCGGTATCAAGACTAAAATCATATTCGTTTGAAAATATTTATTATGAGCCGTATCATCGTGAGTTCAAAGTAAGGTTGAGAATGTGTGACATTGACGAAACAATATCTTTCGACTGAATTTCCGTAGATATTTAGCCGTATTCCAAAATGGAACAGTGAATCAAAATTAGCAGCAGTTATTAGAGATAATGCTAGTATTACACCAAGACAGCGTCACCAACAACTACCGCAACTGCAGTCTGTGCAACAACAGTACCCATACCAGCAGAATCAGCAGCAGCAAGCACAAACAGAAAAAAAAGTATTTTCGTTATTCTTTCATCGATGTCTTGTTAGTATATACTCTTTTGTTGAATGTTTAGATCTATGATGTACAAACCGAATGGCGTGCAGAATCAAAAATAAAACAAATATTCTATGAAAATATGTCATACAATTCGAGGCCATCGGATAATATTGTGAGTTAGACAAAATATTCGTCTTTGTAGTTGCATTTTATTAGTTATTTCTTTGTTCTCTTTTAGATATTTGATGAAAAACTGATTTGGACAGCTCAACCCAAACTTAAAGCAGCAACATGGGATAATATACATTATCAACCTCAACAATCAAAAGTGCAAGTAAGTTAAAACTACATATGATTTTCTAGTTAATTTTTTAAATGAATATTTTCAGATATTTAACAAAAGTGTACATTGGAGTAGTGAAGCAAAAATACGCACAAGATCACCATCTTATCCTTCTCGAATACAAATGAGACAAGTGCAAGTGAGATTTTAAAGCAAGAGCTTATTAATGTATGAATTATTTAAAATTTTTATCTGTTTTAGATCTTTAATGAAAAACCACACTGGGATACAGAAGCAAAAGTACAATGTTGGAGTGAAATTGATCTAAGTAAACTAAAACTAACACATCCAAAAAAACTTCTCCTTTCTGTGAGTATATATATTGTTCGTTTACAAATATAGATATAGCTTAATAGGCTTTTATTATTTCAGAGAGCAGATGATCCAAAATGGAGTGATATTGTAACAGCCAGAGTTGAAGCCACAAATCCAGATTACCATCCACTAGCACATCAAGTCGAAGTATGTATTAGAAAGAGAAATAGAAAGTCGAAAAATTCGCATTTTTTCGATACAAATTCAAGATCATCTCTACAAGTTTCATGCGTACGAGAGTAAAACTATGTAAATTAATCAAAGAGACATACGCTAAAGATCAGCTCATACTTTGTGCAATAACATCAGAAATTCTAAGTCAACGAATAATTGAAAAATGATTGACATCAATTCTCATTTAGGTATTTTCAGATAAACCATTTTGGACGAAAGACTCGAAATTAAAAGATTATGTTTGGGAAAATTTTGATTATAAAAACAATCCACCACGCCAGGTAAGCCAGAAAAGATGAAAAAGTTGAAGTTCTGTGTGTGTAGAGTGAAATCAGCATGAAAAATGTATTTTTTCATACTATTTTACTTATCCATGAAGGATATTTAATTTATATTGCTAAAGATTGCAATAAGAAGTGATTTTGCCAAAAATGTCACAAGTAATTGGACACTTAGATATTTTGAGTTTTAGAAAAGAAAGAGGTTGATTTCTAAAGTTCTATTTTCGACTGAATGTGCTAACCGGGCAACTGCAGATAGATAGACAATGTCCAGTGCAACATTTTTTCAACAGATCGAGTTTCAAACAAATGAGTTTTGTAAAGCGTTAACGAGAAAACAAGAAAAAAAAACATTGTTTGTATTTCTCTTTTGAACGCTTTTGAATAAAATACGTGTTTATTTAAGGACTTTTAGTCGAAAATATGCCATGTTGAGTGACGCTTTGTATAAAACATAGAGGACAAAGCCGAATTATTTTATTTCGACTTATAATTCTTTAATGATCACGAAAATATTTTGCATTGTGCTATTAAGTTTTAAAGTTTATTTTTAACAGCAAAGCTTTATATATTTAAAATATTTTTCTATATTGTTGTATTCTTCTTTCTTTCCTTCTCATTCTATTCTTTTTTCAACCTCGGAGAAAATCAAAACTTACTATAGAAACATGAAATATGTTTAGAAAACAGTCAATTTTAATTATAAAAAAAAGATTTTTTTCAAACAATTCAGTTTGACACATAATATTACGAAATTCATGATTACAAAAGGAACATTTGCTAAACGATTGGGGTTATAAAATTTTAATGGACCAGTTTACTTAACTACAGAAAACACATAGTAATAAATAAATAAATTTTGAATATTTTCGTTAATTGTACCCTTCTTCTATTGACTCACTATATAATAATGTAGACACATATTCTTATAAACTAGTATGCAGAAAATACTTTTGTTGTTTTCTCGTCTTGAAAAAGGGAAAAAAAACGCTTCCGTGAACTTCTACTCAGTAAAAAAGAAAAAAATTAATTTTTGTAGACAATTGAGATGACATAAATTAGGAAAAAAGAGACTATTGATTGATAATTAAAATTTTATTTTCTCTGGTAAATCTGTATTTTTGTGACATCTTAAAAAACGTTAAATATCAAATTGTTCAATCAAGTCTCTGAAATATTCTCACTAATGTTTTTTTTTCTTATTCATCGAGTGTGGCTTCTTTTTTTCAAAAAATAAAGTTTTTTCTCCACACCCTCTTTTCTTCCTCAATAGACATTGAAAAATGATATCAACGCCCGAGGTGTGATAGCCTGTTTCTGTGACGGAACTCTTCATTGTTTTATCTTTAATTTAGCAAGACGATCTCCCATCATTGGAAATCCAAAATGTTGACGAACAGGTTTGTAACATTAGATATTAAGTTCGACGAGGATAGAAACATTTTAGCTGCTGATTAGAAATCAGCATCGTTTTAGTCTAAACACAAATAATGAATATTTTTTATGATATCGGTAGACAACGAACGATCGCTTAAATAGGGGATGACTAATTAGCTTGAGAAACTATAGATATTCAATCGAGAACTATAGGTCTTGTCTTCAAGAGCAGTACACACGGCTTCAGATCTGCGCTATTCAATTTTTTACATTTGAACTAACTTAATAAAACAGAGAGTTAGAATAATGTAGAACATTTTTTTTTCTTTTTCGGTATAGTCATCACGTGATCGTCCAAAATGGAATATGGTATCTAAAACACGATCAGTGAATACTGTTTATAACCCACACGTTCCTCCAGCTAGTATAGTACGTATCTATTAAACATTCAACTAATTACGTAATCGAAAACATTATATTAACAATTTTTGTAGATACGACGAAGTTGGGACAGAGAGCTTCGACGAAAACGTGTACATAGAGTAGGATATTGTGAAAGTCAAAAAGAGTATATAAAAATAATCAATTTTTGTTTACACTAGTTACCACCATTAAAACGGAAGAAAAGTGAGAAAGTAGTACCGTTACTACCATCACTATCAGGACAAGAGCCAATACCGCTCCAACAATCGACAGATGACTACAACCAAGAACAATCTGTGGTATTTGTTCTCTATATAAGGAGTAAATTTGACATTACGAAAATATCATTAATTTTTTCAGCAAGAACGAACAAGTTATGATTATTTATCATCAAGACGTTCGAGCAAAGTATTACCAGCCACTCACACCCATCAAAAACGAGTATTTTCCGAATTTGATGTATTGCATATAATGAAAAAAGGAAACTTTTTGAATTCTAATTATCAATTCTGTTTCAGATTCCATTAGAAACACCAAGATCTCGGCGAGTATGTGACTGACTCATTAATGATATATGATACATCAGCCATTTTAATACATTGCTTTTTATTCTAGCCTATACACGAAGAATGGTTAGAACAACAAAATAAATCCAGATTAACAACAGTTAGTAAAATAGGTACATCCATAATTAGCACGTTATCATAATATTTATTATTTTCTAGAGAACAGATATGCGTCCAATAACAAATGAATCTTATCGTGAATTGAATGGTTCAGTGAAATCAAATACACCACGGGAGTTATTTACGATGGTAGATGATTCATTTTCTCTGCTGGTCTAACTTAGGATAGCTATTTTTCTTCTTGCAGCGTTCATCAACACGAAATAGTCAAACGAATCCCAGTGTTATGAGTGGCACATTGTTGGATTCTAGCGTTCACACAAACAGAGCTACAGAACTAAGATTAGCAAAAGATATGGTTGGTTTTTTCACTTAAATGTTTCTTAAATTTCCTACAATGTTCCATTCTGTATCTAGGATGAAGCCCATTGTCACATACATACGCCACATGAATCGATGCCAATAGAAATTCGAGGTTTCAAGGTATTGACATAAGGAAAAGAAACATTCTTTTCTTATCTTCATTAAATGGTATTTTTTAGCTTGAGGGTACACGATTAATCGTACCAGATGATGCAACAATTCGTCCATTATCAAATGTTAGTTATCGTGGTGCTGAACGTGTTAAAAGTCGTCGAGTTTATCCATGGAATAATATGAATCCACTCACAAGTAGTCGAAATAGTTCTCTAGGGCCAATAGCTGAATTTCAACGACCATCATTAGACACGACTATTGATTCACGTCGTAAAGAAAATACTATTCGAGAAGATGTTTGATATTTTTTTCTATTTATGTATCATGCGGTGCTGTCAATATATCATTAAGGCAATGTTGTTGGAATTGTTGTTTTTTCCATATTATGGTGATTAATATTTATTTATTTTATTGTATATAATATTTTCCGTTAAAACGACTTTTAGGTATTTTTTATAAAAAAATTTGAGAGAACACATGTGATAAATCCTGTAACAAATAGAATGAATTATACATTGTATAAGGTATATTTACTAACAATAAGACTTGCACAAGAAAAGACCTATAACTTTCTTCTTCGATTGTTATTTCTACTTTCAAAATTCTATAAATAAAAATAATAAAAAATAAAAGTACTTTAAATTATGTATCTCTAGCAGACATAATTGAATAAATGCAACTTTTTAAATTTAAATATTTGCAAAATATAGATAAGAAGTAAGCTTTTTAGGAGTAATCATGTGAAGAATCAAAACATGTATGTTTTTTGGTGGATAAATCTTTCGATTAGATTAGCGCATTTTGTTTAGTAATCGCTGCTAGTTATTAATTAGTCATTTTTGCCACATCACACCGATCGGGAGTAAGTGAGTCTTACGCCATCTGAAAGAGGACATTTAGACGTCCTAAAATATGATGTGCTATTTTCTTCTTATCACTTTCAAAATGGACTTCAAACTTCAAAATTATTGTCGGAAAAAATTCTAATTTTTTAAGTCTTCCGATGTTTGTTCAATTAAGACAGTGTCTCAAAGAGTGTCCTGCGGGACAAACTTTTTCGTGTCCCGAATCCCGTTTATCTCGTTCCGAACTTTTTTGGCAAATCCTGTCCCGTCCCGTTTGTCCCGCTTCGACAGAAAATATTCAAGATGTCACTTCAGCCAAGTAAATTTATTATAGTTAACCTGGTATATCATTATCGGTGAAGGAAACATGTTGAAAGGAATGGAAAGATGAATAGCGAATCGAATTTAAGAATAAACAAACAATGGAAAAAAATAGATAGAATAGAATTTTTTCGTTCTAGCTTTGCTTTATTCCATTGCCTATCTTTTTGTCTAGATAGTCTTTCAGAAATGTCTACACTTTTGCCAAAGCAGAATCTGTCGAAGATATAGAACATTGTTAAAATACTCTAGTGAGATTTCTTTGTATATATTTATTGATCTTGATTAGAAAAAGAATATATGTTAGCCAATGAGAATATTGTTGACTAAGAGCAGCTATGACAAACAAGTTAACTATACTTCGGGACAATTTTTTGTCTGTGTTATCCCGAATCCCGTTTGTCCCGTCCCGAACTTTTTCGTACTGTCCCGATCCCGTTTGTCCCGTCACGAAAAATATTCGGGACAGTTCCACGGGACGGGACAAACGGGATTTTTCGAGATTCAGGACTGTCCCGCAGGACACTAGTCTCAAATCTTAGGATCATCTTCTATACATCATTTTGTAGTGAAATGAATGGGGAATGGTTCGGTAATAAGATGAACTTTGTGAAGTCGAAGGAAGAGGAGAAAAACTGAAACTGAAAACTACATCATTCTTTTTGGTACACCTGTTATTCAATTGAGCATTACTTACATATAGATTATGTCAATTAGTTTTGTTATTTACATGATTGATTCACAGTACAATCAATACGTCATTGACAAATACAAATTCCAACAGCCCAACGATTGCCATTCTGTAGAAATTAAACTCTAAAATTAAATGTAATCGTTTAAGAGAGTTATTATCTAATAAATCAGTTGATAACACATTTATTCGCTGATGATTTAGCTGTGTTATGAGTAGGTCTTTAGAAAAGAAATTCTCACTTAATGTCATAGAATTAGAGGAGAGAGCAAAAATAATGCTAAAATCATTGGAAAAATTTGCCGATGATAATATTCTTCCTGTAAAAATTTCTAAAACGAAAGCATTGTTGGTACATAATGTCATATCACAATCGTATCCTAAATTAGAATATAAACGAAAGAAAATAGAATACGTTAAACGTATAAATACTTAGGTATTAGAGCAGACTAAAATAGTGTTTTCATTTCTTTCCCATCTTTCGTTCGTTCCGATCGTTCATGATGATGATTTATTGCGAAAAGAAATGCTCGGGCCTGATGTCCTCTTGCACACGAATGAAACATGGGAAAGAAATGAAAACACTATTTCAATCTGCTCTATTAATATCATTACAAAAATGGGATGGGATAATTTCATAAACGAAAGAATAAAAAAGATAAGAAAAATTTATAAGGCGCTGAGAATAATGTTTTATATAATTCCAAAAAATGAAATACAATAAAGAAGAAAACTATTTCTTTCGTTTGTCCTACCGCATTTCACGTGGTTATTTACTATATGGTTCTTTTTTACAGATAAACAGAACCAACAAATAGAACATGTGTATTGTAGCGGTTTAAGAATTGTGTATAAGTTAAGGGGCCCTCTCAGGAAAAAACATTTTTATCTTACATCCGATTTCGATGGCGGTTTAAGTGACTAATGCTTACTGTCGTACGAGCTTATGCTAAAAATTTGAAATCGAAACGTTGAAGCGCTGCCGAGTTATTGCGTGACAAGGGGCAAAATGAGGCCCTTAGCAAAAGTGTTATAACTTTTTTGTTGGAAGGTGCAGAAAGCTGCGAGAGGCCTCAAATGAAAGTAGACACCTAAATCTAAAATTTAATCCACGGCGATTTTTGAATTTCACTTCTGTTCATTCCCTACACATATTTTAAGTCAGACCTCTGAAAATAACCCTAATTCGGCGGAGTATTTGCCACTTATCTCTGCACAGAAAACAAAAATCAAAAATCGTCGTGGATTAAAGTTTAGATAAATGTCTTAGCTTCAAAATAAAAAAAGAATGAAGGTTTTACGATGAATCGTCTAGAAGTTATTACAACTTTACTGCGCCCAAACCGTATTCTAAGCAGTGGCGTCATCACTTCATTAATTATAGTTCAGCGCTTTTAGTAAAACTAGTATAACTCTGCAAGACAAAATCGTGATCAAAAACAACATCTTGATGAATCAAATGAAGCACACTCCTTTCAATAGACATGGACTGCCTTTTTGATTGCAACTACCCCATCCAAGTCCTGGTAAATCTTCGTCTTTTCTATCCACTTTTGTGTATAAATTCTATATTCGACCATTACTAACTATGTGATTTTATATAGGTGTATCGAACTGATTTTGAAAGATTATATAAACAAAATATGTCTTCCTGTGCACCTCTTATGATTTTCTTAGGATTTTCTCAGGATTCAGAATTTTATTTGTGTATTTCTTATTGTTAACTTCGTTATAGAACAATAAATTTCAATTTTCAGAGTTATTATCTATAAATCATTTGAATCAAATTTTTCTTTCTTCGTACGTCGAACATTTTCGATTCATACGATGATCAGTTTTGATTATAATAGAACAAAGAGCCGTATAATAAAAGAAATCTTAAGTAGTTAGTTCATTCCTGTGAAATTTTGGATAAAAAATGCACTATAGTGGTACATTTCTTTTGCTACATTTCTAGAAAATTTCCTTAACATCGTACGCTCGGTTTCTGAGATATCGTTATAAATGTAACAGACATTCAAATCAACACTTAGATTGATTATCTAAGATTATCCTATGGCGTAGTCTTAAAATAAAAAGTTTCAACACGCCTCCTTATTCTAATATTTGATCAACGATGTAACTAAACCTCAATTTATAAAATGGTGGCAAAAATTTTCCGTACAGCCTAAATTTTTTTTCTTTTGATCATAAATCGGTAACAAAAACAGCTTTTGGCAATCGGTTTGCACCAAAATATTATCCGCTCTCTCTAGTGTATTGGCAGATAAAACAAGTTAGAAATATTCACTGTTGCTCTTTGTAGGCCCACTAGGCTGAAAAGTAAACTTTTTCAGGTCAGCAAAAATTTTCCGTACAGTTTATAAAAATCTTTTTTTACAAGTACCGACAAAGTATGAAAACCACATCAATCGATAGAAAAGAGCGCGAGTTACAATTTGGTAAAAAAATAATTCTGAAAGTTGTTTTTTTTAGGGTGAAAACGAGACTTTAAGCTTCAATTTGACTTTTTCAATGAATCCGTGGAAACAAAACTCTGATTAAGCCATTCGAAACAGCGTCAACAACTAAGTAAGAAACACATAGTCTGGAAGTTAAATGGTAGAATTTGTCAATTTTTTAAAAAATCTGGGCTGTACAGAAAATTTTTGCCGTCACTGTACTTCAATACTACTTGAGACTTTTTGTGATCCGGCTTCCAGATTTACCTCATATTGTTTAGTATTGTTTCTAATGTAACTTATTCAGTGGTGGATTCAGATAAATACATACGATAGGTAAGGAAAGTATGAGGTACGTGCTCATGTTAGTTTTCTTTTCACTTTTATATTTATTTGTTCTGTTGTTTATTTCTGTTGTCTCTATCCTATGTTTTCTTTTGTCTTTTCGTTGCTAGCCGTTTTAGTTGGCTTGAGTCGCTGTTATTATAGGTCGGTCGATGACCTTTGGCAACTCTCGTTTTACGTGAATAAACCTATTTACTTTTTACTTAGTTATTGTGCTCGAGTTTGATCAGCCGTGTTAAGTTCTATTATTCATTAAAGTTGTCATCGATACGTATGTACCTTTTGTCACAATATTGTTTTTGGCGAATGCATTCGTTTCATACTATTTAACTATTTACACATTTATCAAGTAAACATTGCAGTTTTAAGGAATTAGTCTGTTATAATACACATTCTACACTCTACAATAATGTCTAATGCTCTCAGACGAGTTTTACATTCAATCAGTCAATCAGCTAAAATATTTTCATCATGTGCAGGCAAAATTATTGGGAAAACAGTTTATGTAGAAAAAGATGCCGCTTGTTACCGGTACCGCTAACGAGGGAATCTTTTCAAATGATAAAGCGTTTCTTGATCGAAATGTAGTGGGTTATGGGTTATCGACCATGCTGATTCCGAATATGATCATGGAAGTTGCCCTTAGCCCTCTGAAGATTCAGTTTTATGGAAAACCAGTTTTTCAGAAACTAAATAATAATCCAAATCTTCTTTAATGAGACAGGATTATAGCCCGCACATTTCTAATTAAAGTGAGACATCTCCTCGCTCTATACGATCTTTCTTTACAAAGTTAGAGAATTTACAAGAAAAGCCCTAAATTAATTTCTTATTTCTGTAGCTTTCAGTTGACACTGAACATTTAGATGCCGGCTATAATGTACGGGCTATAATCCTGCCTCATTAAAGAGGATTTAAGTTATTATTTAGAGTTTCTGAAAAACTGGTTTTCCATAAAACCGAAGCTTCCGAGAGCTAAGGGCAACTCCCATGATCATATTCGGAATCAGCATGGTCGATAACCCATAACCCACTACATTCCGATCAAAAAACGTTTTATCACTTGAGAAGGTTCCCTCGTAAGTGAGCTTCTTTCAATTATTTTTAGGCACATGATGAGGCACATGAGGTCTATTTCTCTTCTTTTTATTCGTTGTATTATCGCAAAATCGACTTTTTATACGCGGAACAGGATCTGTCCAAATTTTTTTTCTGAATAGCTTATTGAATGAATATACGGGCAGTAAAGTATCTCTTTATTCAAATCACTTTTCGCATTTTGGCGCGAACAGTGGCGCCACTAGTAACACAGGTTTAACCCAGTGTTAACTCACGTAGTGCAGATCGGTCAAAACTAGACATCCATAAGTTTTATCCATAAATCTCTACTATTTCCAAATTTCACATTGATAGTAGAGATTTATGAATAAAATTTATTGATGCCTAGTTTTGACCGCATAGATCAGATCTAATAGTCAATTTATATTTAATAAACTTTCGAACTTTTTGATACAGAATTTTGAAAAGAAATGAGTACTGATCTTCACGGACAAGTGCCGGATGATGCCGATACAGTTTTACTATTAATTGATGTTATAAATGATATGGATTTTGAAGGAAATGAGGAATTATTGAAACGAATTGAAGATGTTGGTAAAAAAATTCGTGAGTTAAAACGCGCAGCAAAAGCAGCTGGTATCCCCGCAGTGTATGTCAATGATAATTTTAATCGATGGCGATCAAATTTTCATTCATTATTAGAACATTGTTTAAATGACAATGTGCCGGGAAAAATTTTGGCTGAATTGTTGAAACCGGAAAAAGAGGATTATTTTGTACTTAAACCGAAACAGTAAGAAAATAAGATAATCTATAACTCCCCGATGATTTCTCATCATCTCTTTTTAGTTCTGGTTTCTACTGTACACCACTAGAAATTCTTCTCGATCATTTTCATGCAAAAAATGTAATATTAACTGGTTTTGCGGGTAATATTTGCGTATTATTCACGGCTAATGATGCTTACATGAGAGGTTACAACATAACTATTCCAAGTGATTGTGTTGATTCAAATACAACAGAAGAGAATGAAGCATCGTTAAATCAAATGAAAAAACTGTGTAAAGCAGATGTCAGAAAGTCAAGTGAAATCATCAAAGATATGATTAAACAAGAAAAACAACTCAAAACCGATCAGAACCAACCTCAAAAAATTGAGAAAAAAACTGCAGGTGACAAGAAGAAAACTTAAAGAAAGAGGACAGATTGATGCAATTATACCAGCTTTTTCCAGTAACATATCGATAATCTAGCAATAATATGTCTTAAACTAGTCATTTTTTTAATATGTTTTGTTTTCTCTTTTTCTTTTGTAAAAAAAATACACATTAGGTTAAATGATAGGTGAATTGGTATGCTGTGCTACTGGGACTTCTTAGAACCATAATAGCGGAAAGTATCTATGGCATTCAGAACCAATAGAGTATTGGATTGGAGGGTAATTTATGCTCTTCTCATAAAACTTATGGGAGTAAAATAATTCATCATTTTCTTTGAGAGTTGTACATCTCTTATGTTTCCCTTGATATTAACATTAACTCTTTTTTTATCTTGAGACAGTATAATTTATAGTAGAATAAATAATTTTCTTGGTTTCGAACAAATTGTACAATAAATAAATAAAATAAATAAATAAAAGACAAATAAAGTCTAAAAATAATTAATAATTATAAAAAGCTTCTTCAACTAGTGATACACATTAGTTGCTGATATTTTCTTTTCTAAAAGAAAGCGCAGACAGAATCACAGAAAAACTGTGGTGACGTATACACACTAGGAGAAAAAAAACATCTGACGTTTTAAAATTGTTATTTGACATGAAAAAAAGAATTAATTCGGAAAATTATTTGTCGTTCTATAATATTGTTGTGGAGCTTGCTGACTTTGCGCTACTTGCTGTTGCTAATGAAGAAAAACAAACAGGTCCATATACACACATTTTCTCACACTTAAGATTATCCACTTACTTGAGAAATTTGAATACCACCCATTTGTGATTGCTGCATATTATTTGAATAAGATTGTTGACGTGCATATATTGCAGCTGAGGCAATATTCGTAGGAACTTGTTGTGATTGGACTGGATTTTGCCAAACTTGATTGCCGGTCATCATTTGATTACTCATTGATGAAACATTGCCATTTTGTTGCATTGTAACTCTACCATACGAATTTTGTTCTTGTTGCATCATAGTGTTTGCATTATAACCTTGAGGTATCATACTAAATTAGAATTTGAAAACTTATATTCGATATTCAACAAAGTATACTCGCGTCTCCCTCATCTAGGTGGTCAGTACTCAGCCAATCATATGTTACAACATACACGACAAGCTGATTAGAGAAACTTAATAATCAGAAGTAATAATTACTTTGGTTGGTTAGAAACCATTTGTTGATTGATATATTGATTATTTGACATCTGTGGCGTTTGAGAGTACATTTTTGCATTATAGTTTCCTTGCATTATGTTACGTTCCGGCATTATCATTGAGTTCTGATATTGTCCACCTCCTACATAAATCAAACATGTAAATAAATTAAAATTTATGTCAATTTTTTTCTTTTCAGCAATTTACCCGCTGGCATTTGCATTTTTGGTGGTGTGCCATATGCTTCAGTAGTAAACATTGACGACTGTTCTAGTTTTCTTTTGGATATTTGTCTAGTTGTTGTTGGCATTAAAATTGGATTCATTTGTGGTTCATTCATTGTTGGTTGTGCATACGACGGACGACTAATGGCGATTCGAGTCGATGGTGTAATTGCTTTTGGAGGTATTATTGATTGCCCGTAGGTATTGTTCAGTGGAACCATATTTGGTTGTCCTTGTTGCATATTCATCACATTTTGTTGTTGGGTATTGTACCAAGGATATGGCTCTTGTGAAGTACGATAACCACCACCTACACCAGGTGTTGGAGCCGGTGTATACGATGGATTTTGTGGAATGACAGATGGAGCACGCGTAGTGTTACGCGTTCGAGTATTTTTTCGTATTGACGTACCCGAAGCACCGCCACCGCGTCTTTTGTTTTCCGATGTTTGACGAACTTGCACTTGTTGTTGATGATGATGTGTCGGTGTTATATCGATCGCTTCTGGTTTGTTGTCAACAATTTCTAAATCACTTTCAGATACTTCGGGGGGAACATCAGGTGGATTCTAAAACAACGGTAATATTACATTGGCATCATTTCTGATAAAGAAAATAGACATGTTATTTACCTTAAAGTAGCCTAGTCCACGATCGAAACATGTATGCTTATGTCTCAATAATAAACGATATTGTTCTTCGTAACGTAAACGTTTTCGTTCTGTTTTTCTCGCACAAAACCATGAATAACAAATGGCTGTATGTGTTTTGACACCTTCGATGGCTTCCCAACTGATTACTCTTTCCTAAAAGTAACAAGACAAAATGGTAAAAAGCAAATTAGATAGTGTTCCAATATACCTTTCGTGCCACTTGTAAACCATGTTTTTTCATTTCTTGATTCACTACACGATTGCTTACAGCATCAAATGGTTCAACAACATATATTTCAAATGACGTCTTTTGCAATGGTAAGAGTCGTTTTACCTACAATGAACATTAAAGAAATAAAAATATTGTATTGTTTTCTATCAAGTTATGTAACCTACTTCATCTAAAGCGTCTGATGTTCTCTCACCAAGCTCTTTTCGTATTTTTCGAACTAAATTAATATAAATACGACTTGATTCAATTGATCCTTCGGCTGGAATTAAACTATGAATGAGAACTCCTAGCATATCTAAAACAGTGTTAAGTAATTTTTCATTATTTTTTGTATCAATAACACCAGATGCAATCAATTGAGATAATGCTGATATCCATTCAGTTGATGAATGTTGATTACGCTAGAAAATTTTAAGATAAAATTTGTTACAAAGGAAAAGATATGTCATAATATGAGGCTATCAGATGGCGCATAGATACATACAATAATTGTTTCAAACATTCCACCAATTAAACTCAATCGAAGTTGTAATGATTCAAATATGATGGCTTTCATATTTGGATCATCTTGTACAATTGGAGCCTAGAATAAAAATAGAATTTGTTGTTTCATATATCATATGGTATATATATATAAGATAGAAAAATCATTTTCAATTTTGTTGAAAGAGCGCTATACAACACAAGCACACACGCACAAATCAATAAGAAAATAAAAGTTTATTATTAGTTTTATTCCCACGAAGAAGTAGTTTTCCACATTCCATTGTCTACATCAGTTTTTATCATTATAGATAGATATTTCCATGCTAGAATAATTACAAGCAACTGTCAATAAATATAAATGTGAAATATATTAAGCGTGCAAACTTTATATATATGTCTATGTGAGTATATGTGTCTAAGCTAGGTATATGTTTCATTGCCATAAAGCTCATTGAAACAAAGCATAAGCAAGTAGATAGGATTGTTGTTGTTTTTTTTATTTATCTAACGAGCATAATTATTTAAAATGGCTATGTATATCTATCTGTTTTACCAGATTATTAGAAAACATTTGCCAATCGGTTTTATGACAATTACATCGGCAGTCGGAAAATACAGTACCAATTCTATTGGATGATGATTTTGTTGCCGATATACAATGTTCACATTCCTATAATAGTTTAGTGTTCTTTATCAGTTAGTAAAGCAGAAAATAAGACATATAATTGTTTTATCATTCTCATTTTGGAATATTTTTGTTAGAAGTGAAAGCATTCATTTTTCACATAGTGTATTATATACACACTAACCTGTTTATATAATTGTTCTAATTGTCCACGTAATGAATCTAATAGACCAGCACGTTGAGAATCTTGATCTTGTAAACATGATAATACCAATGATAAAAATGGTTGATGACTTAACAATGAAATACTTCTTAATACTTGATTTTCTTTATCAACTTTTGATTTTGTTGAATTTAACATTGAATTACCATTTTCTAGTACACTACCTAAAACAATTATAAAAAAAAATCTTTCTGATATACTTGAGTAATACATACATACCAGCTAATTGTAAAATTTTTCCTTGAACATTATTTGGTAATCGTGAAATGAGTGGTGCTATTAACCAAATACCTTTCCGATCAAATAAAACAGTTGTACTATTATTATTATTATTATTATTATTATTATTATTATTGTTTGTTAAATTATTTATATTATATTTTTTATCTGTTTGATGTTGAAATAATTCAATGGTTGCACTTGCTATTGATTGTAATAAATGATTACTATGTTCCGTTTGTTTTGGTTCACGATATTCTAATTGTTTTAACATTAATTTTAATTCTAATATTGTCGAACGTAATGTCCATTGATTTAAATTGAGTAATAATGACGATATAATATTTTTTGTACCTTTATCAAATGATAATTGTCTCAATTCATTATTAGATTTATAACATATAAGACGTAATAATTGTTGTGCTTGACCTTCTTCAAGTAATTTATCACATAAATTTGTTTGATTACACAATGTATCAGATTCTTTTAAACATCTTTCTTGTATCCAATCTTGATCACAACATGAATTTAATATACGTAATGCCATATCGGATAATTCTTCAGGATGTGGATCACGACATGGACGAAAATAACTAAATAAAAAATTCAATAGACTATTATACCAGTAAAAATGTTACTTTTCAAATATACGGAAGTTATTCAATTAAATTAAGTCTACCAATATTTATTTGATCAAGTTTGATTATCTACTCTCAACTATTAGACGAAAAAATAGATATTTACGTATTCCAATTGACTCATTAAATTGAAAAAAATAGAAAGAATGTCAATACATACTGTTGAAATTGCCTGTTAATATCTTTATTGTTCAATTTATTTTGTTCTTTATGTTTTAATGCTTTATCTTTACATAGATCTAAATATTTTTTACTATCTTTGAATGATGCTTGATTTAATATTAATAATGATTTAAGTACGCATAAAAATGCTCCAAATGCAATGAGACGATAATTTGACGCTAATAAACGTCGTTCACGTGATGCAATCATCATTTGCCATGGATTATGATTAGCACTAAATAAATGTTCAAGTACATTACATGTAAAACGTGTACCCGGTTCATTTTCTTGTTCACCATTAGCTAAAAGAAAAAAAAATCATAATAAAATCAAAAGAGAAGAAGAAAAAACAACAACACAATTCATACTTTTTGGTGAAGAACTAATAACAGATTGAACAGCGACAATAATATATTCATTAATTGAAAATGCGTGTCGTGCAATCATTATCGATATAAAAACCGATAAATTATTATGAACATATAAATCATTTGTCTAAAGAAATAGAATAAGAGAGTAAATCAATTTTTTAAAGAAAAAAAAAATAGAGTTAATCTCTTCTCTACTTACATCAACACGTTTATTTAATTCATCAAATACATTATAAATATTAGCGGTACTAGATGGACGATTAACATTTGTACATGAACTAAGAGCTTTTATTGCTAATAACCATACAGAATTCAACGAGGCTACTTGACATGTTAATTCTGTCGCTAAATGACCCATATCATGAATACTAAACAATAGATTTTATTTAGATAGAATCATTTTAAAATAAATATTTGATATAAAAATGACTATATAGTTTAATAGAAGAATTTTTGATACATACTATGTCAATGATGTTGAATTGGCAACAGTAATCATCGTATTAATAACAAAATTACATCGAGCTTGTGAACTTTCATCTAATTGTTTAGCATATATTCGATCAATTTGAATTTCATTTGATGCTGATCTAACAAAAATAAATAGTTAAAAATAAATATTAAAATGAAAAAAATTTGATTAAGTTTAAAAAAAAACTAAATTTACCTTGGTGTATCGATTATTTTCATTAAAAAATTTGGATCCCATTTAATATTTACATGTTGTTCTTGTTTATTATTTTGTGTATTTTGTGCATAAAGTTCTTTTTTTATTAATGTTATTGTTTGTTGTACTTTTTCACTATATTTTGACTTAAATAAAAAATAAAGAAAATTAAAAATATTAGAATAAAAAATTCATTCACAAATAGTTACCTTTAAATATGGACAGGAAAAATAAAAATCATGCATTAACATTAATAGTGCTCGTTCGACCGATGTTGTACGTTGTGGATCAACAATTTTACCACAAATTGTTATTAAACTAAATAAATAATCAATAATTTATCATTATTTTCATTAATTAAAAGATAATATTTACTTTTCAAATACTTGTGTCATATTTGTCGGTGTCAATATTAATATAGGTGTATAAAATCGAAATACACTTGTTATTTCCAAATAGAGTTCAGCTACATAATTACTAATACCCGGTGATGCTTTAATGGCATGCATTGATTCAATACGACTAAATATTTTCAATAATTCTACACATGTTTGAGTAAGTCCATATAAATTCAATGTTTTCTCCATTAATTCAAATAAAAATGCAATATCATCTAGCCATGGTAAACGACGTGTTTGTCGTTCAATAAAGGCTGTTATACGTTCTAATAATAGTTTACTAACACGATTTGTTATATAATATTGATCATGATAGGATAATTGCATTAAAGCTGTTCTTATATGAAAATATTTTGAATAGGGTATTGAACGTGTGAATGGTGGAACACAAGATGAAGTATCAATACAATTTTTCAAACGAAACATAGAACTTAATTGACGAACATTAGCTTTCAATTGTTTATGAGCTTCATCTCTAAAACAAAAAAAGAAAAAATAATTTAGAATGAAGAAACTTATCTATCATACTTTCAAAACATTTTTTACCTTTTTGACGAAATACCGTATAATATAATTTTTCGTTGATTAAAATCATCTCGAAAATCATCATCAAGTGGAAATGGAAATTGTTCTAGAAAAATTTGATATCGACGATATCTTAATGTAGTGTTATCATTTGATATTGCTGGATTATTAATTGATTGTACATTACTATTCAATCTATTGGACGTTTTTTGTCTTGTCGTTGAATAACCTAAACAATTATGATTATGGTTAACTAGTACGACTATTATGGTACTATGTATGTATGAAACAGATATTAGTTAATTGAAAAAAAACGTTAACTTTTGTATATTTGTGGTAAATATGTGAACCTACCAATATTTGTATGATTGTTATCTACTTGATCAAGGTCAAGTGTAGTCGACTGAGATGTACGTCGTTCAAGTACACTATCGGTTTTATGATCATCTCCCGATTCATTTCTAATTGAATTGTACGACATTGATTTTGCTAATACAGAATTATTATTTGTTAGAACGAAATGTGATAATTGTGGTTGAGATGGATGAAAAGAAGTAGATGGAGGTTGTGATGGTGGGGCTAATGGAACGTTTTTAGTGGAAATATGATGACTTTGTAGTTGTTGATGATTTTGCTGTTGTTGATTTTCGTCTCGATGATCAGTTAACGAAACGAGTCCATGGGAAACAAGAGAGCACATAAACTGTTTGGATGAAAATATATTAAGACGAATTAACTCAGAAAATAACATAACCAACGTAGCAAATGAACTATCGGTATCAGTATTTTCATCTAAAAAAAACAAATGTAATATTGATACATCTGTAAGTTACTATAATAGCAAAAACGTTAAATTCTTACTGAGAAATGGTGCTTGCTTTAATAAATATTCTGTCAATGCATTTTGAAATGGATTTGTGACTAAAGATGACGAATTTAGATAGTCAGATTCTTTTTCATCTAGAATATTATTCGTCTGCTAAAAGATATCAAGCAATATTTTTTAAATCACCAATATGAAATGAACGATCTCTTACCTGTTGATTAATCAATTTTTTTTCTATTTGACGTTTTTCTAACAGTCTGGCAACAAAGAATGCTCTATAGACGCCCGCTCGACATGTTGTTATTGCCCAATCGCACATTAAATGTACAATGGCTGTTTCAAGTTCTGATGTCAATATTTCTTTTGATGTTGAATTAGGATAAATCTATAATAAAAAAAAAAAACAATTTCCAATTCGAAGAAACAGATGAACAAATGAAGATACATACTTTACTATAAACATTTTCAAGTAAATATCGCTCTTCTTTAAATTCATCTAGCACTTCTAACACATATAATACACGTGAGATAGCTTGACCTGATATACTTTGTAGTTTATCTGTTGACCATTTATGTTCAACCGCTAAACTTCTTGCCCTTAAATTATCTTCGGCTTGTATCAACATTTGTTTTGTTAATAATTGATCAACACCCGATGGTAACGGCAATTGTGATGGATAACATGGTAAAAAATCAAGAGGTGAACCATATTTCAACAATGTATCTGGTTTTTGTTGTTCATCTATGAATAATCAAGAATAAAAATAAAAACATTATTGTGAATAACTAAAAAAATTAAACTTACCAAATGGAGCATTATATAGTAGAGCTGCCGGACAACGTAACGTGATACATTGAACAATAGCAGATAATGAACTAATAAGTAAACGATGCATTGGACATGACATAAGATTTGAAAACGTAGCTTGCATCTAAAAAATTCATCAATTATTTATTTTGTTTTCATTTTAACAAAAAAGAGCTTTGTACCGTCATTTGTGTTGAATTTGAAGTAACACTGTCATTGTATAAATCACCAAGTCTTGAGCAACAATAATAAGCAATTTTACGTGAAAATATTTCATATTCTAATATTTCATTACT